GGTGGGGTGCCATGGGGTGGGGGTTGTGTGGAGCTCAGGTAGTAATGCATGGCCCATTTCCTAACAGGCCATGGACCACTACTGGGCCATGACCCAGGGGTTGGGGACTGCAGATCTACAGAATGGGAGAAAATATTTCCATGCTATACATCCAATAAAAGGCTAATAACCAGAATCTTCAAAGAACTCAAACAAATCAGCAAGAAAAAAAATCAAACAATCCCATTAAAAAGTGGGCAAAAGACATGAACAGAATATTTTCAAAAGAACATAGACTAATGGCCAATAAACATGAAAAAATACTCAACATCACTAACCATCAGGGAAATGGAAATGAAAACCACAATGAGAGATCACCTAACCCCAGTGAGAATGGCTTTTATCAAAAAGTCTCAAAACAATAGATGCTGGTGTGGATGTGGAGAGAAAGGAACACTTATACACTGTTGGTGGGACTGCAAACTGGAACAACCTCTATGGAAAATAGTATGGAGATTACTCAAAGAACTAAAAGTAGACTTACCATTTGATCCAGCAATCCCACCACTGGGTATATACCAAAAGGAAAAAAAGTCATTTTATCAAAAAGACACCCGCATTCAAATGTTTATTACAGCACAATTCACAATTGCAAATATGGGGAATCAGCCCCAAGTGCCCATCAATTCATGAGTGGATCAATAAAATGTGGTATATGTATACCACGGAATACTGCTCAGTCATAAGGAAAAAATGATGAATTAATACCTTTTATAACAATCTGGATGCAACTAGAGACAATTCTAAGTGAAGTATCACAAGAATGGAAAAACAAACACCACATGTACTCGCTATTAAATTAGACCTAACTGATCAGTACTCATGTGCACAGATGGAAGTAAAACTCAACAAAAATCAAGCAGGAGGGAAAAGGGAGGAGGAGATGGGTGAAATCACACCTAATGGGTACAGTGTACACTATCTGGGTGATAGGCACACTTTTAACTTTGACTCAAGCAGTACAAAAGCAATCCATGTGACCAAAATATTTGGACACTGGTAATATACTGAAATTAAAAAAAAAAATAGCATCTAACATATGTATCCAGGGAGATCTTCACAAAACATGCACAGAAAGTTTTTAGTGAAGAACAATATTTGAAGAACTTTTAAGTTTAAAAAAATGACTCTAACATAGTGACTAATCAAAAACTAATTCAAAAGTAATGTTTTTTTATGACAGATGTATAATTAGTACTAAATAACTACCTATAGATCCATTAGACTTAATATATCATAATTTTCCAGTGATAGAGCTCAGAAATGAGAAAGATCATCTAAACCAACAATGCCATTTTACAATTGAGGAAACCGAGGCCCCAAGAGGAGACATGAAACAATTGGTTTAATAATCATGGTCAGAATCTCCCTTCTTTCAGACTAGGAACCACTCGTATGTCCCAGCTTAGGGCGAAGAAAGGCAGACAGTCCATAAGAAAGTCTGTTAGATCTCCTTTTGAAAACAGAAAGGAGCAAGTAAACCAAGTCCTAGAGTTGGAAAGGGATGGAAAGACCTCTTGGGAAAGTTTGTTCCCCAGACTACCTAAATCTGTGGGTGGGTTTGTCCTCTGCTTAGGTGACTCCTACGCTCATTAAGTTTGAGAAGCATGAACTTAGAAAACATTTTAAAGATAAGTGATGAAATTCCCTGAAATATTTAGGAAGAGTTTTTTTTGTTCATGAAATGTAACCCTAAATGTTCAAATTATGTGGCTAATTTTTATCTATTCATTCAACATGTGCCAAGCATTATGCTCTGCTCTCTTGAAGGGG